TTAACGTAGCATCTGAATATGTAATGATATACAGGGCGTTCTATTTTAAAAAATGGAATTTTGGTCTGTAGCACCTACACCAAACACCCTGTATATTTAAAAATTATATCAAAATATAGCTCTCATGAACTCCTAAAACTTTTGTATGAAACATTTTTGTGTATCTCCTTCAACAAACCAGATATTGCCTGTCACATAAAATGTGGGACACCCGGTATATGTCAGAAGAGGTAATACTTATCTCATAAGAGGTTGAAAATTTAGGAATATGAATTGATCCTGATATAAAAATACACAAAGCATGTGATTGGTTTATGTCGGACCTCACTGTCAATTGACCCAAATATAGTCCGGTGCATTTGGGTCGTGATAAAGTGAGGATTCAAAGAATCTAAATCTCATGCCTCAGATTCTCTCTTGGAATAAGAAAATTATATTACATAACACTGATATATAAAACACTATTTACAAATACTCTTATATTTGAGAAACACAATGCTTTAATGTCCACGATGTATCAACGAAAAACCGCCACTCTGATATTTTTGAGCTTCTCTCTGCTATTTCTAGTATGATATAGGATATTTCAGTAGAATTGAAAAGCACTGAAAAGCGACACTTCACCCTTCATTGGTAGCGATGAATAAAGTCGTTTATTATTATAATTAATGCGATAACCGATCTCAACCAGTTTCGTTAGAGAGAATATATCTCAAGAAAGTCGATCAAGTTTTCTGTATTTTTATTTTTTGTTTCAGGAGTTTTTGTGTGGGATATTGAAGGAAAACGATATTTCGACTACCTCAGTGGATACTCTGCCAATAATTTTGGTCACTGTCATCCAAAAATAGTAAAAGCATTACAAGACCAGAGCGCAGTTCTGCATCACACATCCAGAGCATTTTACTCCGATAAATTGGGAGAATATGCAGAAGTAATCACCAAACTTTTTGGATATGACAAACTGATGCCAATGAACACAGGTCAGTCTAATCATAAATAGAAAACGTAAATGGAAAAGAATATTCCATTTTCAGACCTACATAAAATAGTTTTCCATAATTGATAGGATAGTTCTCGTGTTTCATGAAGAAATTATAATGTTTAAACTTCGAAACATTCAGACATTATTTGGGACGTGGAAGTCCCTTTTCCATATGTAAAATTAAAGAATATTCTGAAAATCACCTAATTCCGATCATGAGTGTTTTCGTTATCGTTTCGTTATTTATAGTTATCATAAAAGTCATAAGTTATTATGTTGAGGTATTTTTTCTGCTATATCGACTGAAACAATCTTCTCACAGAAGAATCAAAATACTGTCCTTCGACGGTATTTTTACGCGTTTCTCTAACCAAGTTAGCATTATAAGGAGACTTAATCTAATGAACTGAGACACTGTTTCACTTCGAATGTTTACTGGATCGGTGCCCAGTCAAGCTGATACCACAAATTTCGTCTGACACTCAGTTAGAGGCAGATTATTTAAAACTTCATACAACTGATTTATAATGAAATTTCTGTAGAGGTCTGCGTTCAAATTTTCTCTGAAAAATGTGGTCCAATCATTTGGTTATGCAATAACCCACACCACACATTTATCTTGAATAACTATTGGTATCTGTATCAACCATCACCCTACCTAACGAGGGTTGATACATTAATTCCTATATTCTCGTGTTATATATCTTTATTCATAGATCTCATTCCAAATGTTTCCATTTTTTAACTTTTGAAGACATCTAAAATCCTGTTGATATGTATCGGTGTCAAAAATTTCAAGCATTCCTTACTTATTCTCTGGCCGTTCTCTCTGGCATGATGAGCTACACCGAACTTTTCTGGTCCATGGAACCGATTATGTGAAACATGTTCCTTGTAGCGAGCTATTATAGTTTGACCAACATATTTTTTCATCGCAATCCTCACAACTCATTTCAAAAATCCTAAACTTTTCCTTTTCCGTCGTCTTGTCTTTCGGTTGCTCAACATTTGCTTGAAGTGTACAAGCAGTTTTAAAAGATACTTTCATATTACATTTTTTGAAAATTTCAACCAATCCGTTGGTGTATTTTTGTTCGTATAGAAAAACTATAAATGTTGGATCTTCGAATTTCTCAAAGTAAGAGGACACTCTCTGAATTTTCATTGCCTATTTAATTCATCCACGATGTTTCAAAGAAGAACACCCGTTAATTCTGAAGGAGAATGTTGGGAGTTGTCAGGTATACCTACATATCAAATTCTAAAATTCGTTATCGGTTTTGTTAGCCATTGGGCAATCTTATACGTATATTCCTATAAGATACCCAAATAGCTTACATAAGAGTTCGAATACCCATCGATTCCACAACTCAGTGAGAGTGTCGTTAATTCACAAGAATTCACCGAGAAAAATAAAGGTGAGGATGCGAGATTGTAAAATTTTATTGTCTTTTAACAGATCTTCATTATTTCCAAGTCTTCCCGTATCAACCATCGAATATCTGAAGAATATTTTAAAAAAAAATTAACTACGTAGTGAGACAGTCGAAGAGTACATCCATCAGTTCACACAAATTTGCGTGGAACATATAATTGCTCTCAGTTCGCTAACTGTTTGTACAAACATCATGAGGGTACGGCAATAAGAAACACCTATATTTTCATGGCTGATCTGTTCTTGAGCAGATTTGGTGTTTCGTCTCAACAACAGTTCCCCAAAGTGCATGTATGAATTTGAAAATAACGAAGAGCTACCATTCCTGAATGTTCTAGTTATGAAAAATTACGATAAGGGTTCAGAATTTGACGTAAATAGGAAGAATACTAACACTTTCAGATATATTCTTGACAGCTCCCACCATTGTCCACAATAAAAAATGGCATGATATGATATCGAGAAAAAAGTCATCAAGGAAATTGCCGAGAGTAACGGGTATTCTTCAAACATAAGTTAAGTAAGAAACGAAAATTTAAAGAGTGTCTTCGAAGAATCAAAATTTATAGTTCTTCCATGTGAACCAAAATTCAACAACGTATTGGTTCGAATAAAAAAAAATATGAAAGTGACTTTCAAAACTGGATAACCCAAAATACGAGACGACGAGACGTTGGATAATTACGTAATAAGCTCAGAGGATTGCGATAAAAAGTATGTTGGTCAAACTAAACTGACTGGAATAACTCACTATAAGGAACATGTTTCACATATTCGTCTTCATAAACCAGAGAAATCTAGTGTCGTTAAAAATGCCTTAAATAAAGACCACAGAATAAGTGAGAAATGCATGAAATTGTTGAGAACGGTACATGACAACAAGAGTTCATAAAACAAAAAGTGTAGAATGAGATCTTTGAACCCTCGTTAGGTCAGATAATGGTTAGTTCAGATGAATATAATAGTATATTACGTACCGAGTGGGATAAGAAGCCAATTAATTACGAGCGAAAAATTGTAAGCACGAGGCGTTAGCCGACAGTAATAAATCGCGAGGGGACGTTATTGGCCTTATCCTCGAGGTGCGTACTATACTTTTTCTACGACTGACAATAGAAAGGAATGGTACAATATATTTGTATTATTATGGCTTTGGATTTCAAACTCGCTCAGTCAGCCAGTCAGAACTCAATTAAATGATTGAAAAATTGGTGACAATATTGGCTACAAGGTATTCGGAATAATTTTTGTTATACATTTTTGCTGAATTTTCGAAATAAACGAGAACGTTTTTAGAAAACGAAGTTATGTTTTTCTCATCTCTCCAACTCATTAAATTTTCGAATTTTTTGTTGGCAGCAAATTATTCATCGCAATACTTACTTGCTAGGTTATATCTGGTAATATCATGGGATCATATTCATCAGAGTAAATGTTACATATCTCATCATTTTTTGAAATTTCTCACGGAAGTGGCCGCCATTAATTTAGAATATATGTGTATTCTAAATGGGCCAGCCTCTTTCCTTTTGTCATGTGCTAATCTACACCTGTCAAATTTGACAGGTTTATCTTATATTTTCTTATCTTATATTCTTTATTTTCACCATTAGGTTCACAACAAAACATCACAACATTCATTGATTTATCTCAATAATCTTATAAAGAACCCGAATTCATCATTCAGTATGCCATCCTTTCCGTTCTGTTCAAATTATAGTCCCTTCATTCACAAACTTTGTGGCATTTTCAATAAATAGGGGATTTATGTTAGCATAACACTCCCGAATGGTATTCTTTAAATGTTCTTTGTTTGCAAATGGTATGTGTCGCGTCTTCGAATACTCGAAAAATAATGAAAATGAAAACAAGAGTGGACTGTGAGAATTGTGGCATAAAGCGAACTCACCGAATTCGTCGCACATATCCCTGCTTTTGAAAGGGCCCTTTCTTGGAGTGTTCTTTCTTCAGCTTCACTGGATTGTACAACAAAACGGGAAGTTAAAACGAGTTACCAAACAGTCGAAAATGACACATAGTCTAGAGCACCCACGTCGAAATAAGTAATGAGAGCTGTACGTAGCATGAGATCGTAGGTAGGTCTCTATTGATATGGTTCAGATGGATAAGCATACTTCAATCGAGTCTTGAGCATCCGCCCTTAGGAGTCGCTCCATGCTAACAATAATAATACTAATAATAGTAGAAAATTACAAATAAAGACGCAACATTATGTGCTTCTACATTTTTTGTTTCAGATAACCCCATAGAAAAAAGTCCATCGGAGATAAATCCGGTGATCTTGGTGGCCAATAATTTTTCCAATCTCGTCCTATCACTTTGCCCCTAAACATCTGAGACACTGTTTCACTTCGAATGTTTACTGGATCGGTGCCCAGTCAAGCTGATACCACAAATTTCGTCTGACACTCAGTTAGAGGCAGATTATCTAAAACTTCAGACAACTGATTCATAATGAAATTTCTGTACATGTCTGCGTTCAAATTTTCTCTGAAAAATGTGGTCCAATCATTTGGTTATGCAATAACCCACACCACACATTTATCTTGAATAACTATTGGTCACGATATTCAATACTGTACCCGAACCGCCATGCCCAGCATTTTCCGCTGGAATAATTTTCTTGGTGTTGGAAGAGATTCTGGAATCTTCCAGTATAACCACTTTGATGCTGTCATAAAGCTGAGAAGGCACGTTGAACAGAATTTCCTCATTTCCGACATTTCAGCAGTTTGTTCCTTATGTCCACCACGAATCCATAAGGGGACATGATGTCTGGTACTACTGATAACTTCTTCACACTGCTTCTGTTGGAAATGTCCGTTCTCAATACTGACCTCGCTGCTCCAGTATCAATGGTGAAAAGGCACTGATGATTATTCAGAAATCCGTCGACAACTAAACTATTACTGTTGCGTACAATCATGAAAATCGAATACCTGGGGGCTTGGGATGCAGCAGCCAATGTACCCCCCCTAACACTGGCTGGATTTAGTTTTCCGAACCCCGACGCTCTAGTTCCTGAAAGCCAGTCTCTTCTTTCGTTGGATGTTGAACGAGATCGACAGTCCCGCCTTAAATGTCCTTCTCTGCCGCAGTTACAACATTCAGGCCGTCCTGTTGCCTTGGGTTTAGTTCCATTCATCAAATATTTCTTCAAAACCAGCCATGAGTCGATCTGGTCCTTCGCCTTCCTTTTCATTAATGACCCTCACTAGAACTTTTCTTTGTTGTCATGGAATGAAGCATTTTTAGCAGCTTCAAATTCAATGGCATAAATGATGGCTTCATTTAGTTTTTTATCACGTGCCATTCTCAATGACTGCTGCAGATCCTTGTCACAACCGCGTCGATGAAACTATGGACACTAATCCAGTGGGTGAAGTTATCCGGTGCTTCTGGGTAGGCGAGTCTTACTAACTTCTCAACTTCCAGCTCCAAACTCTTGCAAACTTTCTGATGGAACTTGAGTTCTCACCTTCAGTTGAGATTGGTAGACTTGTTGAAGGTGCTCACCACCATATCCGACCTCCAAAGCTTCATAATCATCTTGCCCATTCACTGGAATGTTTTGCAGAATATCGGAAGCTTTTCCTCGTAGTGCCAGAGCTGTTGCTTTCTCCTTATTTCTCCACCCATTATTTTTCGCAGCATCCTCAAATTGTCTATGATAAATTGACCATGAAGATTCGACATCGAAAGTTGGAGTTTTAATAAAACTACTGCTAGAAGAGGAATATGTCGTTTCCGATTTGCATTTTTCCACAGTAATCCTTTTCGGTTCCGGGAATTATTTCCGAAGTTCCCGGAAAATCTCTTCAAACTTTTTGTCGACTCCTTCAAGTTTCTCATCGACTACTTTTTCCAATCCCTCCAATTTTTCCTGAAATACTTTTCCAAATTCTTCCTGAATATATTCCTGTACCACCCCTTTACTCATTTGGGAAGATTTTGAATCTTCCAATGAATGAAGGTACATCTGATTGCCTTTTCCTTGCTTTTCCTGTTTTTCCTTAATATTTAGTAGTAATTTACGATCTTCATTTCGGCGTAATTGCTCTTTCTTTCTTCTGTGTTTTTCATTTTCTGCCAGGCTCGTTTGCAAAGCCTCAAACATTTTCTCAAGCGTTTCCATTCCGTCGTAATCGACATTCCTNAAAAAAATAAAAACCATTTTCCGAAATTTCTGTTTTTTCGGATATCTTCGGATATACTCGGAATTTCAGAACTTTTTCAACGGCTTATCATAAATTATTGGGTATTGTTCTATTAGTGATATAAATTGTGCGTCTTCCATAATATTATTCAAATGAAAGTTATTATTTATTTCATTTCATATGAATGATTGCTGTTGTCAAGATTATGGAAATGGAATTCAATGTCAATATTTGTTTATGCATTTTTGCCAACCCAAAAATTACCAAAACCTATAATCACTATGGCAATTCTTCATACTTTACTTTTTCGTGAACGTCATACCTTACTTTACCTCTCTGCATTACATTACCTTACCTTACCTTGCATTATTATAAACTAGGGGTTACACTTTTTATGTAATTCTCATTTGTTGACTGTATTTTGTCGACATTCGTGTGTACTAACTGACCTAACACCTTGGCCGCTATGTTGTGATGCTTTTTTATAACTCCAGAATCTTAGAATCGAATCAAAACATTTGAGGAATCGAACTGGACATTAAATTGATGACATTTTCAAGGTCTTACAAAATAGGCAAGGATAATACTCTATGAGAGAAAAAAACTTATTGCAGAGTAGGATAAAAATCCATATTTTTAACGCGACCAAAGTGGGTAAAATATGTAGATATTAGGTAGGTACACTACATTCGTCAACATCGATTATATCATCAATAAGTTATTATAATGATGCATCAAAAAGAAGTATGTCACCGTTTTTTGTTGTGAACAGTTAATTTTCTATAAGGATCATTCTAAGTGAAAGATTCCGAAACTAAATACAAACTTAAATAATGATCATTTTTATTGTTTAAAAATTCACGTATATATGCAGAAAATTATAAATTTTTAGGAGTGGAAGCGGGTGACACGGCTTGCAAAATCGCTAGAAAATGGGGATAATTCACTAATTACCTAAATACACCACCTCCTATTTTCACAAATTTAAGTTTAGCTGTGTCTTACCTTCGATAATAAGAACCATAAAAACCATGATTAAAGGATTTCCAAATATGTATTAGTTAAGAAATATTACTGGAGTGTTTTCTCAACACTCAACGTTATTTTATCACGTCGACACGTGTTTCGATCACCAAGGTATCATCTCAAAGAGGAACATAAAAAGTTTGATCTTCTTTTTGAAGAGGATCACTTCTTGATCGAAACACATGTCGAGGTGTTGAAATAACGGTTTGGTGTTGGGACTAAACTCCAGTAATATTCATTACTACACCAAAAGTTCCAAACAGTGCATCACATGTATTAGAGTTAGTTTGTTCTTGTAGTGAAATGTTCTGATTAGATTCATTCTATTCCTGAAGTTCCAATTCCACACATCAAATTCCAAAACAAGCACTTTTTTCAATCACCAGAAAGACGATACTCTTCTCAATGCGCATTTCACCAACCAAGATGGCGTCTTCAGGAGATAAAAAACTTGCTTGGTGAATCGCACGTCGAGAAGAGTATTATACTTCTGGTGGAAAAGTGCTTGTTTTGGATTTATTCTACGCCAGAGGTTTCAGTTTTGCTTTTTTTTTAACATTAAATTATATATATGGCATCTGTTGCTCAGTTCGTATATAGTAACTTAAAAATCTGGTCTTGGGATGACTTTTGATTTGAATTTAATGATCAAAACAAGGGATAAGGCCTATGCCAGGTTTTAAAAGTCATATAACATGTCACACTATAGACACTTCAGAAATGTCCTAAAGAGAAACACATGTGAATTTACTTCGTAATTATGAGTCTGCGTATCATGATAATACCTTCAAATTTCCTAACTTATTTTTTTTACTACAGAAAAATCCTTAAGGTGCTTTAAGAGAGATGCTTGTGTGAAAGTAGCGATTCACATTGGATTTGAATCATTGGAGATTTAATTCATTTGGAAAAACGTTCTCAGGAAGTTTATTCCACATAAACACAGTTCTTCGAATGGAAGATTTATTAAACAGTGAAGTTTGAGGTGTACTGAGATGAACCTCAAAACAATGAGCAGCCACAGTCCGTCGCGTATTTCTGATATGTACCGCTCTTGGTGGTGGAAAGTCATCTTGCTTTTGATCAGGTTGGAGCCTGACTTCCTTACCCTTTCTGCTGGTGTTTGTCGGAGGGACAAAGGGGTCATGACTGATGGTGGGATGGCAATATGAATGTCGTTTGTTTGAAGGTGATTGACAATGTTTCGTGATGAATTTCACTAGTTCGGACTTCCATTGTCTACTATATGAAATGATTTGAAATCCCTGAAAAACCAAAAATGAATAGATATCACCATTCTGATCACTCCCATATATGAAAAGTAAGACACACTGTATATATGAATATAGTTTTGATGCTAAATGTACCATAATAGTAAACAAATACTGTATGATATACGCAGAATTGCTACACACGTTAAAAATTAAGACCTCGTTAGTCCTTAGCTCACACAAGTTTCTCAACTCCTGAGAGTTGTCGTTCGTATGGGGGGGACAGCTGATCAACGAAAAAACAGATTTCAAACAGATATGCATATAGTTTTGATGCTAAATGTACCATAATAGTAAACAAATACTGTATGATATACGCACAATTGCTACATTGTGTAAATGGCAGCATCATCCTCTCAATTCCTCGCTGTAGCTTACCTCTAGTTTATAAAAACGTAAGGTAACGAGGTAAGGTAAGGTAAGAAAGTTGAAGCATTGAGAAAACACACTTGCGTTCTAGATAAAAAGTAAATTAAGGTAACGTCGGTAAGGCAAAGTAACGCAAGGTAACAAGTCGGCTATTTTCAACTTTCTACGTTGCGTTCTTACTTCCGACCAATCAGAAAGCGCCATACTACAAACTTTGACGGATATATCCGAATGGTGTAAAAGTAATGTCACCAGATAAACTTAAACGTCACATTGTGAAATTTGATTTTTCTTTCGATGGATGTAAATACAAAAATTGCCGCGATCGTGTCGATGATAAGTGTGTATCTTTTACTCAAAAGAAAGAAACGAAAGGAGAGGTTTAATGTTAGACCCATTGTGCGAAGCAGAAAGACTCAGGTGTACACAAGAATGAACAAAATATGTTTTGAACATTTAGTGAAATTATTAGGGTAAATTTTCGTTATGTGGACACCCGGCGATTTTGAAAAAATGTTTGACTGTACTTACGTATTTTGATGAAGAACATTCCTCGCGATGAAGCTAAAATAATTTTCGCGGCCAACAATTTTTGGGGTAGATCTTTGGCTGCTATTTCAGCTTCAACAGATCCTTCCAGTTTTGAGGGATATGGACCATTCTTACCGGGATTCTCGTGCATTCCTTATGATGATCTAAGTGCACTTGAGGTAAGTTTTGAACTATTATGTTATGCAACATAAATTTTGATTGTTGCCAGTGGCGTACGTGGGGAAATCATTTCATAGAAAAATAAATATGCCACTGATATAGAATTGGGTATTATTGAGGATTGTAAATGTATCTGGTAGGTAATAAGCATATTTTTGTCCTATGGCCATAATAATTAGTTTACACATTTATCTGTCTAGTCTAGTTGTATGTATTCAAGTCCTCGATTATCGATGAATTTTCTAAAATAATAATGGACTTCATTTATCGGATTTGTTAGCATGGAGTAATTCGAAAATGATGAACTAAATAAATCGATAAAAGGCAAAGTTCAGTAGATGCTGTTTTAAAATTTAACCTTTAAAGACAGCCAGATAACATACATAATTAACAATATGATCTACTAGATTACATAAGCAAATAATTAATGCGTCTTCGTGGAGAAGTACAGTGAAACACTTCACAAGTAAACTGCTCGACAATATTAACCGAGAAGATGGACACGTACAAATAACACATATAAAAATAAGATCAAAAAGAGAACTAAGATACGGAATATCCTTGGTGTGATCACTTAGTCTCCTTTTCTATTAAAAATATTTTTTCAAAAACTATTTGGATATTCGGCACTGTTGATAAAAAAAATAGAAAAGGTATCCAATTGATTTCAGCATTCCATTCATACCTCTGTCAACGTAACACAAGTCGATTAATTCCGTTAGCATAAACATTGGGTGCTCGGGATTCACTGATTCGACACCGCTTTCGTTCAATTTAAATTTGTAGAGAAAAATTGGTCGAAAACCGCTTAACGTCATCACATTCTAATGGAAAATAAAAGCATTAATATTCGTAGAGTTTGCATCGCAAATCTTCCTTTTCACGCCTATATTCTTTCCCCCGCTGATGCAAAGTTTGTGGAGTTTGCAGTGCCTACACAACAGAATGATAGTGACTAAGGCTCGTAAAGTTATCACATCTATGTATTATCAATGGCTATGAAAAAGCTGATACGGAAGAATTTTTCTTTGAGGCAGCTGCTTGAGCTTGTTTTTTGACACCGAATTGAAACATTATGACCTAGGATTATCCAAACAAATGACCTCTGCTTTTCTCCAGCCAAGTGTACTGACGACGGAAATCAAGAGAAAAATAATGGCTTGCTAGGATGTAGTCTTCAGCATTGTGACTGACATTCGCTGTCACATGTCGAACAATCCCAGCCTACGTCCAGCCCCATAAGAGAGTTTTATCGTTACTTTCGGCAGATCTATAGAATTGACAAAAATGTGTTGTGGAAAAAGTGAGAATATGCTCATATAGAGTATATAGTATATACTTCTCGAAGTGAGACACAAAAATGGAATTGTAGCAAATATTATCCAGCTCGAAGTTCCCTTTGTCC